GGGGGTGGGAGGGATGGGGTGGCTGGGTGATAGACATTGGGGAGGGTATGTGCTATGGTGAGCGCTGTGAATTGTGTAACACTGATGAATCACAGACTTGTACCCCTGAAACAAAGAATACATTATATGTTAATAAAAAAATAATTAAAAAAAAGATACAGCTGCAATTCTTGCTGCACTTATGTAAATAATCAGGCCACGGTTTTTTGGAAACTAGATTTATTTTGCAAACAAATTCATGTTAACTTGGTTATCTTTGGTGATAACGAGGGTGATTATAGAGACAAAAGATATTTCAATAACACATCTTTGTACGTATTAGATTTTAATACTAATCATTATAAGCGGGACTAGGTCCTGATTTCTTCCAGTATCCTCCACTGCCCGGCTACGACTCTCCATGCTAGCATTTTGAGTTTTCTCCCCTTTCTGATTTGGAATCATTGAGAATGAGAACTGCCCCTTTTCCTGAACAGCTTGATGTACACTTCAGAGAAATCAGCACAATAGCTCACACATAGACAATCTTTGTGCCAATTGCTCAATGGGCCACTCAGATCACCAGAGACATTTGAACTACAGACCCGGAGGTTTTGTCTGATTGCCACAACCTGCCTTCACTCTACCTGAAGATGCTTCGAGTTGACATCTAGAAGTCTGTTCCCCTGGCTGCCCTCAGAACTCGGAGACTGGCTTAACATTTGATCCAGTCATTAACCATTGTTTTCTTTTTGTTTCTATAGAAATGCCTCTTATTTAATACCTGATGACTTACTCTGTAGTCCTGATGTTGAGAATACACCTGCATCTCTGTTTTCTGAAATGAGTTTGCCTAAACTGACCTACTGTCAGTCCTAATAGACCAGTTCAATGGGAAGAAACATCCCACCAGCGTAACTTTTAATGTGTGAAACTTCAGAGAAGTTTAAATTTAAGTTTTCTCTGATGAACCCAACTACATGGCAGAGCAAACATTTGTCTACAAAACATTTACTGTTCCTAATCTTCCTGTGAATTGTGTTCCGCCTCTTTGAAGTCTCAGAGCCCTGCCCTTCTCCTTAATTCAGGATGAAATTTATACCTCTTTTTGCCTGACTGCCATGATTGTGTGGATTCCCTGTATGTATGCTATTAAATGTGATTTTCTCCTGTTAATGTCAATTTCATTCTTAGTCCAGCTAGAAGAACCTTGAACGGACAGGAACTCTTGCTCCCCTTCCCTCTCCAGGGCTGGCCCAACTCACCCACTACTCCTCCTGTTGGTAAAGCCCTTGGCTGCTCTGCCTCCAAACCCCCCACCCTGGCAAGGCCTTCTGAGGGTAGCAAGTGGCAGAAAGAGGGCCCCAAGGGCTTTGTCTTAGGAAGGCTAGCCTGGTGGAGGCAGGTGGAGAGGGACTCCCTGGGCCCATGGACCAGATGTTGAGACAGATAGACTTTAGGAGTGAAGATGACAAGAAATTGCATTCTGAGCACATCTGAGCTGCTCACAGGGTGGACCGCTCTACAGAGATGCCAGTAGCCAATGGAAGTCCAGAACTGGGCTGGGGAAGGGGGTGGCAGGAAGTAGGTGTGCAGAGACTGGAGGTGGTGCCAGAGAGTGGGGCAGAGACCCTCTCCAGAGACAAGGTCATCAGGGACAGACACTAGGGGATGCTGAGGTGAGGGGCCAGAGCAAGAAGAGGGCACACCTCATCACGTCAACCATACGATCCAAAGAACAGCACTGCCTTTCTCCTAATTAAGAAAATCAGGAAGTAACTGAAGAAAAAAATTAAGGGAAGTAGATGAGAGAAATTGAAAAAGATTAATTTAAGAAAACGAAGGCAGTTGGCCTCTGAGCTCAGTTCCAGTCTCTGGAGGGCAGGGGGCATCAGCTGAGCACCAGGGAGACAACCCAGGCAGGCAGGACATGTGGCTGCTCCCGGTTCTGTTCCTTCTCATCATCCAAGGTGAGTGGGGCAGGGGCTTCAGGACGGAGCACCTGCAGGGCTGGGGCGGGACACAAACAGGGTTTATCCTGGGGGAAATGGCAGGACATTTCACTCACCAGACACTAATTCTTTAAAAAAAATTTTTTTTTTTAGTTTTGTTACCTGACAGGTACTAAGTTGGGTTTTGGGAAAAGAAACATAAAATGAACAACACAAATGGTGTCTGTCTTCTAGTGCACTCCTTCTCAACCTTGGCAGATAGTTGGATAGACATATGATGGATGGATGCATGGATGGAGCATGGATGGATGGATAGATGATAGATAGATGCATACATGGGCACATACATATGCATATATACACATACATAAATGCATGAATTCCTAAGGAACTTGGAGGGAGCACAAAAGCTCAAGCTCCAAGTGAGACCCACTCAAGCAAGGTGGGGTTCAGCTATCTGGATTATTTATAAACCTGCACTACTGGTCTTGACTTGTAGCTAGAGCCGGGATCTCTTCTGAAGAGCTCAGATACAGGGAGGAAGACAGGCAGCAAAACCAGGGGTGATAGGATCTCTGGAGAGTTGTTCAATCCCACACATCAGGCTGCCCAAGTCTCTGCTCTGGATGAGCCAAGGAACAGACCATCGTCCAGGGTCATAAGTGCAACAACGGAGACAGGGACAAAGTACTCTGATGGCACCCGGAGCAACCCAGTTAGCTGCAGAACCGGAGACACCATAGAAGAGACACTGTTTGAGCTGAGCCTTGAGGGATGAATAGAAGGCTTGATTAAGCAGAGCAGAGAGAACATTCCAAGTAGAGGGAACAGCTTGTGTAAATATAAGGAGACACAGAAGAGCAAGGTGTGTAGTAAAATAACAAGCAATCACCTGTGTGAATGAATGTGTATGTGTGAGTGTGTATGTTTACTTCCATGGATGGATTCGGAGGGTGAGGGACTTTAGGTGTTTTGGGGTTAGAGTGTCAGGGGTTGGGTAGGGAGGGGGCCGCACTGTCTCACCAGCTCTAGGATTCAGAAATACACCTGGGGTGCAGTGTGCGTTCTGCACTGCCGGGGAGAGGTGTTGGCAGAGGGCAAGGGAGGGGTTGTGGTCAGTAGGATCGAAGTGAGCAGAGGCCCCTGTATTGGGCAGTTAGGAGCCCCAAGGGGGACATCCAAGAGAGGAGACAACTAAAGACATACTGCAGGGGATTAAGAGACAGGTGGGATGTGGCAGTTAGACAGAGAGCAGAGGCTCCTGGCTGGTCTTCAGGGCATTACCAGATGCCCCAGCATCATCCACACCATCCCAGGGCTCAAGGGAAGATGACATGAATGTTGGGTTTCTGTCTTCTAGGCCACTTCTCCATCTACCAGGAAAGAACTGTGAGAGGCACAGAGGGGGGCACACTGACGACAAACTGTGAGTATGGCCGAGGGTGGGAACCCTATAAGAAGTGGTGGTGCCGTGGGAAGAACTGGAATTCCTGCAGAATCCTTGTAAAAACCACCGGGTCAGAGCAACTGGTGAAGAAGGGCAGAGCGACCATCCAGGACTATCACAACCAACGCACAATCACCATGACTTTGGAGGGGCTCCGGCTGGATGACACAGACACATACTGGTGTGGAATTGAGAGAATCGGCGAAGACTTGGGGTACAAATTTTCCGTGATTGTCGACCCAGGTAGGCACTACGCCCTCCTGTGTCCTGGAGCCCTGGTACCACCCACAGAGGAGTCAGGACTGTTCCTCTGTCTTCCCAAATGGATGGAGAAGAGTCTCTAAACTTGCCTGAGACTCCACCTGTGTGTGCGTGTGTGCGCGTGTGGGTGCATGTGTGAGCAAGTATGGTTGGGGGCACCAAGAGTCTGGGAAAGACTGGAAGAAAGAGCAAGCCCCACATCTCTGCATGTCTCCAGCTGCTCTCCCCAGAGGGAGCAGAGAAGCAGAGACTCGGCTAGGACAGGCTTGTCCAGGGAAGGCAGCTCCTCTTTTCCTGGTCACGTCCACGCTCAGTGCAGCCCCAGGCTGAGTGGGGCCTTGTCAGGTGTGCAGGGAGGAGTGGGTGCTAGAAAGCCATGGTCCTGATGGTCTCAGCTATAGGACAAGAGACTATCTCCCTGCCCCCTCCTTCTTCCCCTCCTTCCTCTGGCAACATAAGCACAAAGGAGCAGGCGAGGGACTCTGAACCCATTTCTGGGAGATGGAAAGGCAGACTCCACCAGAGTGCTGGGAACCCCTCTCTGGGGCTACCTCTGAGCCTTGGAGGGGACTCTGGGCTCCACTAGGGCCTCCCTGGAGACAGGCCTGGAAAGGGAGTCAGGCTGTAGCCCCACACACACAGCTCCAGATCTGGACCCCTCAGTCTTCTCTCCAACATACAGACCCACAGACACACAGACCCAGAGACTAGGTAGGTAATACATCTGATACTCATTAGCTCATTTACAAAGCAGAGAAAAGTCTCTTCACACTTAGCATACGCAAAATGGTGTGCAAAAGTGCCCACTGGACAGGTATGCTGGTAGAATGTTCCAGAGATTAACTGAAAAAGACAACAAAGGTGGGTGGATGTGTGCAAGACTGCAGGAGAACTGGGGCCAGAGATTTGGAGTCTGGACCCTCCAACCAGATAAGCCTTCGCTGGCAGGACTGGTGTAATAAGAAAGGCCCCGGGGAGGCAGGCTGGACCCCAGAAGACAGCAGGGGCTGTGGGCTCTGGGCGGCTACAGGAGACGGGGGAACCCTCGGCCAGCCAGCTCGTGGGTCACAGTGCTTCAGGGCAGGTGGCACACAGCCTGCTTTGGGCAAGGCTGAGACTCAGAGAAGAGCTGGCCTGGCTGATTGAGGGCTGCAGGGGTGGGAACGTGGCTCTGACGTGCTCAGCTGTGCCAAACAGACCCTGAGATTGAGCTGAATGTAATTGCTCCAGAGCTCCCCACCCAACATGCCTCCCCCGGTGGTGAACTGCTGTTTCTCTGCAAATGAAATAATTGCATGTTTGGAACAGGAAACCAAAAAGATGCAAGAGCAGACCAATGTGCCTGAGTGATGAGGCTAAGGCAGAAGCTTCTTCACCCTGGGGGTGGGGAGTGGAGAAGGCCATGGGAGCCACCTGCGTCACACTCACCACCCTGCCCTGCCCTGTGTGTTTAGCACCAGATCCAACAGATTTTCCCAAACCTGTGACAAGACCCACAACAGCCAGTTGGGATTCCACATTTCCATTTACCCTGGGCATCAACAGCACCCAGCCCGTGACTCTGATCAACCCCGACAGCAGGTGAGCAGAGCTGGACCCCAGCAGACCTTTCCCACTGCTGCCCTGTGACCACTTCCCACAGGGCACTCTCTCAGGGACCCCCCGCCTTGGCCCCACTGAGGTTTCCTATGCAGGGGAGAATCAGCAAGGTCTGCACTAGGCCCCCCTCTTTATACCTCTGAGCACTTAAAAAACTCCCCACTCTGCAAGAGGAACCCAGACAAAGTTCTTCAGCTGGGCTGCAGGAGAGAAGTCTCTGGCCTCCTTCTGACCTGCCTCCCAACCCACAAGAACCACAAAGAGGTGTAGGTGGTTCCAGCCTCAAGTATGCCAGAAGAGAAGTACTCTGTATTCCTTTCCTGTGGCCTCTGGAACAAATCACCACCAACCTGGTGGCTTACGACAAAAAGAGTTTTATGATCTTATGGTTCTGGCGGTCAGAAGTCTGAAATGAGTCTCCCTGGGCTAAAGTTAAGGTGTTGGCAGGGCTAGTTCCTTCTGGAGGCTCTAAGGGAGAAGACCTTCCTTGTCTTTTCCAGCCTCTGGAGGCCCTGCACCCCCTGGCTCCGGGTCCCTTCCATCCTCACAGCCAGCAGTGGTGGTTGAGTCCTCCTCATACCACATTACCAGGATACTGGCTCTCCCCTGTCCTTTCATTTATAAACACTGCTGATGACATTAGGTCCACCCAGGTAACCCAGGATAATCTCCCCATCTCAAGGTCAGCTGGTTGGCAATCTTAACTCCATCTGCATCATGACTTCCCCCTTGCCATGTACCCTAACACATTCACAGGTCTGACACCTCTCGGGGGTGGGGGTGTTATTCTGCCCACAGATGGTCACAAGCAGGTGCCTGTTCCATGAATTCAACCCTGTCCTCCCTGAGTGCTAGGGAAACGCTGGAAAGGAGTGGGATGCTGTGATTCCTGCTTTCTCACATTCCCAACATGGTAGAGAGGCTGGGACATCAACCTGAAGGGCCCCCCCCCATCAAGAATCATCCAAAGACAACCAATTAGCTCTTTCATCAAAGGGCAAACACACTGCCCCATTTTCACCCCATCAGAGACCAGGGGGTAGGTGCATTCCCTCCCTGGGTCCCGCCTCCCAGAAACACCCTCCACCACCTTCCTTCCAGCCCCAGTTCTACTTCTTTCCCTTCTGCAGGACCCTATTCCTGGGAACAGGGCCCCACTGGATAGTTTGTTCCGTCATGCCTCTGAATGACGCAAGGCACTTGGCTATGCTTCATGATGAGTTTCTGTCCTGCTGGTGACTGTTTGGAGTTGTTCTGTTGAGTGGGGAGTGGAGGGTGCAGGACTTTGAGGAGACCAAGGAGCATAGGAGGAAGTCTGCAAGGTGGAGAGACGGGACAGCAAGCCCACAGTGAATGGAACTTATGAAAAGAGCACAGTAGCTTAAAGGATATTTTGAGGAAGGGCAAAGCAGCATGCCCTCTCTCTTTCCAGAAAACCACCTGTGAAATCCAATGACCCATCATGCTCAAGGAAGGTGAAGGACAGAGCAAGGTTGGTCTGCAGGGGATCCTGGCCTTGCTTGTGGAGGAGAGGATGAGGCCGATGGTAAAGGGGTCAGACAGTTGATTAATAAGACGAACCACCAGGGGGACACGTAAGCAATGGCCCATCACCCATCTAGAGCCGGTGTCCACTATACGGGTTGTATGAGAGAGAACACCTCATATGTGCTACTACGTGGGGTCAGAGCTGGGAGAGACCCTTCCCCGGAGAACCCTGAAGGTAAATAGCCAGGTGGACAGGGGTGGGGGATCTTCCTCCGCTTCAAAGAGGTAATATTAGATCGGAGATGGAAATTTGGGCAGAACTGACACAAGGTAGGACACAAGTAGAATGAAAAGACAGGCAAAGGTAGACCCTTGAGCTTGGCTGGTCTGCAGGTGAGATGGAGGGGAATTGTGGGAGAGCAGCCAAAAAAGCAGGATGAAATCAGGGGGCAGAGGTGCTGGACCCCAGGTTAAGCCTGCAGGGAGGCCCCTAAAGGCTTAGCCTTGGTTGGGCAGCATGGCTGTGCCCTCAGAGGGGCTTCCCTGGCAGGAACCAATGCTTGTCTCTCCTGCAGGTCTGGGCTCAGGAGTCAGGTCAGGGAGGAAGGGGCTGGGGCTGTCCCTAAAGAGGGAGCTCACTGATGTCACCCTGTTCCTTGCACAGGGCCCTGCTATGCAGCCTTCTCTTTGTGCTCTTGAACTTTGTGAAAGTGTCCCTGCACAGGGCCCTGCTGTGGACTGTGGTGTGGCTGATCCAGAGTCGGGGGGACCCAGGGGGAGAAGAGAGTCAGCCTGAGCAGGAGAAGCACAGCTCCCACGCCATCAACACCCCTGGACCCTCTGACCTCTCAGCAGGGAATGGGCAGTGGTTGAAGGTCCAGGAGAGATCTGGTCCCTGTTAGGTGGGGACTCCCCTCATCCTGACCTCAGGAATAAACTCTGGCTCCCTCCCTGCTCTGCACAGGTCTGGGACCCTGGCCTCCACGGTAGCAGCCAAGAAGCCTCCTGTGTGGATCCTCCTGATGCCTCTTTTCTTTGTGATCCTGGAGTGGCTCTGCCAAGGATAATGGACTGTTACAGCATTCAGTACTCTGGCCAATGTGGGTTTTAAGATCCAGACCATCCGGTAACTATAAAGTCGGAATTAAACCAAAAAGCTTCCGAGTGTTCCACATGGTCAAAGACCCACGATGGGCCAGGTGTACAGAGGTCTGCTGATTCCACCTCCTCCTGGAGTAAGAATCGCCTGAACGTAAGATAGAAGACAAGGTTGGGCCATCTCTGACCCGCATCCCATCTGTTGGCTCAATACATTTCCTATTAAATCTATGGCTATCCTGGGCTCTTTTGAGATTATTTCTTTGGGACACTATTTCAGTCTTTTATATGTGAGAGGACGACCCTTCCATCCTAGACGGTCCAAAGTGACTCTAAATTGAATGCTAGAATCATAATGTGTCTGGCAACTGGGAGGTGGAAGACAAGAGAAGGGAGAGACCTAGATGATGCCTTTTAATCCCCTCAAAGAGTTCCCAACGAGGGCTCCCCTCATATAGATGTGAAATTTCACTGATGGCCAGGAGTGCATAAAGAAAAGCATAGGGACTTGGGTTTGGAAGTTATTTTCTGTGTTTGTATTTTTAATTTTTTTTTTTATTAGAGAGAGAGAGAGAGCATGCCAGCTGGAGGGGAAGGACAGATGGAGGGTGAGAATCCCAAGCAGACTCCACGCCCAGCGTGGAGCCTGATGCAGGTCCCGATCTCATGACCCTGAGATCATGACCTGAACCGAAATGAGGAGTCCAATGCTTAACTGTCTGAGCCACCCAGGCACCCCTATTTTCTGTGTTTTTTAAAAAAGAGTATCATGGTATATATATACCTCACATATTAGAAAGCCTTTGCAAGGGGTGCCTGGGTGGCACAGTCGTTAAGCATCTGCCTTCAGCTCAGGTCGTGATCCCAGGGTTGTGAGATCGAGCCCCACACTGGACTCCCTACTCAGTGTGAAGCTTGTTTCTCCCTCTCCCGCTCCCCCTGCTTGTGTTCTCTCTGTCAAATAAATAAATAAAATCTTTTAAAAAAAAAGAAAATTTAAAAAATTTTTAAAAAAGAAAGGCTTCACAAGCTAGGTGTACAGTTCAATGAGCCTTTTTAAGCAGGAATACTTGGGTTACTGTCATTGCAATCAAGATCTTTAGGGATGTGGATATCTGACTATAAATTTGTCAAAACTAAATGAAACTACTCTTTTTCCCTGTGTAAGTAATAAGTGTTTTGTGGGTAGGGGCTTTGAAACAATGTAAATATCCACATGTCTCTGTATCTACATCGGTGACCTCCAAGGCCAGGGGACTCAGCCGGTGGTCACAATAACAGTTCATTTCTGTCCATCCATTTGTCCCTTAGCCCTCCTGGTCCTGCAGGTGCAGGGCTCCAGGGACAGTCAGGACTTCTTCATCCAGACAGGACAAAGGAGGGCCTGAGATCTGTCCCCATCATGCCTGTGATGCTGTCCATCCCCCTGCCAGCTCAGACCACCATCATCCCCTCTTGGTTTGACCTAAACTTTGGCCTTTCCACCCTCCCACGCTCCCCCACCCCCAGCAGAGCAAGGGCAAGCCAGAATGCTGAGCCCTTCATGTTTAACTTCCTCCCACTCACACATCAGAAAATAACACAAGTCTTTTTCTATTTTAATTTTCAAAGGTATACATATTTCCTCCCAACAAAATGTTGGGGTTTGGGGGGGTTTCTCTTCTACTTACATTCTTCCTGGGCTCTGCTCTTTTTTGTGTCCATATTTTTTGAACCATTTTGGGGGAACTATATCTCTTTTCTGAGCTCCTTTTTAGTGAGGTCGTTGTCTGTCATTTCTCTGAGACTGAGTGGACCTACCTGACCTCTTGCTCTGTGTCCTGGAGCATTTCCTCTCTGAAGCAAATTCACCAGCCACCTTTCGCTGGCTCTCTGTTCCTCTCCTTGAGCCCGTTAGAGAAGGCGCTGGTTCGTTTTTGGCTCGAGTTTTCCTTTGAAGGAGGTCGGGGCTTCGCCAAAGCGGGTGTGTCGGGGCTGGGTGGGGGGCCTTCTGCCGCAGCGGGTGGCTTCTGGTGGGGAACAGCTCCGCCACATGCGGACACCTGAGCCCACGCGGTTCTGGGTCTCGTGTCAGGAAAGGGCGAGACCTCAAGGCCCAGCAGCCTGCGTGTTACCGTGTGGGAGCTCCGGGCCCGCGGTCCCCGCCGCAGGGCTGAGTCACAGAGGGGCCCTTGGCAGCAGCCAGCACCCTCCCCATAGCCGCCGTGCCCACGGCAGAGGCAGCGCGTTCCTCTTTACCGTCTTGCCTGACCCTAGAACGGATAGAGGCCGAATGGTCCCGTTACCCGTGCTTAGATTTTCCTTACTTTGTCATGTCACAGATCCTGTGGTCAGGAATTCCAGCAGGTTGAGACAGGGACGGCCTGTCTCTGCTCCATCATGTCTGGGGCCTCAGTTGGGAAGACATATGCTGGTGGGGTGACTCACATGGCTGGGTGCCACTGTCATCCGGAAGCTTCTTTGCCCGCGTGTCTGGAACATGAGCCAGGGTGACCCAACCCGGAGCTCAGCCCTGACTGTTGACCCGAGATCCTACAGGCAGCCTCTCCATTTGGCTGCCGGGTTCTGAGTGGGAGAGCCCCCAGAGCCAGGGTTTCTAGAGACTGAGGAAGGGGCTACGGGGTTCCTCGTGGCCTGGCCTCGGACGTCACACAGGGTCACTGTCACCAGGCTCTATCTGGGCCTTCCGACGGGGACAAACATTGGTTCTTGGAGGGTGAAAAAATGCTACTCTTTTCGTATATAAAACATAGATGATCGATTGGTAGAGGATCAACTGATCAATAGAACATGGGCATATACAGTATATGTTTGGTATTAAAATGTCATAGCGCGGCGGGGTAGGGGTGCACTTCTAGGAAGAGAAAATGAGTCAACAGGCTCCTTAGGAGGATAACTATGGAACAACGTTTGGGAAGCTCTGCTCTGGGTTACTGGCTGCAGTGGTCACAGCCCACCCAGACTCAAGGGGAGGGGACATAACCCCAACTCTTAATAAAAGGAGTGTCAAGAAATTTGCAGTCCCGTTTTCTAACTGCCACATGCAATAATATTAATCTGGTGTCTTCACATCACATCAAAGAACGAGGAGCCCGGAAGGGCTGAGGCCCCTGGCCCCAGCCAGAAGGCCAGGGAACAGACTTGGATCTGCCCCGGAGTCAGCCTGGGGCTGGCCCACATGGCATTCCTGCAAGGGCATCTGTGTACGTGAAAGGTCAGTTCCCAAGCCTGCAGGGCACCATATGGCCCCAGGTGTAAATAGTAGGCAGACACAACGATGTTCTGCAATTTCTCTGCTTTACTCACAGATCACAGACTGCATCCATGAATTGCATGAACTTATGAATATGTTTTGTTCGGGTCACAATATTTTTTAAATGGAGTGTGTTGCCTACATGTAAATATGAGCAATTTCACTTCTGGTTTCTCTTTTAAAAGCAGAAACGCCAGAAAACAGCGGGTCCTGCGTGGAGAGTGTTTAAGACCTTCCTGCAGCTTCCTAGGGCTTCCAGGATACCATTAAAGCACACAGATTAGAAAGGAAGAAATAAAATTGTCCCTTTGTGCAGATGACATAATTGTGTAGAAAATCTCAAGGAATCTCCAAAAAAAAAAAAAAACCAACTGCCAGAACTAAAAAATGAGTTTAACAAGTCACAGGATAAAAGATCAATACACACACACATACACATACATACACACATAAACATACACACATACACGTACACACACATACACACACACACAGTCCTATTTCTATACTAGCAACGAGCATGTAGAAACTGAATTGAAACACACGGTGCCGTTCACATTGCTGGACAAGAAGAAGAAACACCTGGTATAAATCTAACAGAACATGTGCAACATCCATATACTAAAATTTTTTTTAAAAGATTTTATTTGTTTGACAGAGAGAGACACAGCGAGAAAGGGAACACAAGCAGGGGGAGTGGGAGAGGGAGAAGCAGGCTTTCCGCTGAGCAGGGAGCCCGATGCGGGGCTCCATCCCAGGACCCCGGGATCATGACCTGAGCCAAAGGCAGACGCTCAACGACTGAGCCACCCAGGCGCCCCTCCATATACTAAAATTTACAAAACTTGGGTGACCTAAGCCAAGGAATATTTAAATAAATCGTGAGAGGTACCATATTATCCACACAGGAAAGATGTCGATTATCCCAATACGATCTATAAGTTTAAAACAATTCCTATCAAAATCTCAGCAAGGCTGTTTTGGTAGACAAACTTACTCTAAAATTTATATGGAAAGGTAAAGAAACTAGAATACTTAAAAATAAGTTTGAGAAAGAATAAAGTACATCATAAGCTTCTCTCTTGCCCAGCGTTGTGTTTCCTACATCGCCCTGTGTGTGTTTTATCATATGGTCCATATGTGCCTCTTTGCTTGAATTTCTCCGTCTGCAGAGTCCTGGGCCAGTGCCAGTTCTCCTCAAGGGGCCCCGAGGGGCCCTGCCCTAGCAGAAGCCATGCCGGGACTCGGGTTCCGAGCGTGACCACCCAGCCGGCGAACACAGCGCTCAGGAGCTCAGAGCGTTTTCTGGAAACTGGCATCACGAGCTCAGGGAAGGCTTCACGTGGCGGAGACGAGAGGGCTGGTCTAGACACAAGGAGCTGAGTGGAGCCGGGGACGCGTGCTTGTGACAGACTGTGTATGTCCCTGCAAACTTCCAGAGGGGAGCCACTGACAAGCATTTGAAACCAACTGAGTCCTTTCCGGGGCTGGGGCTGGTATGCCCCGTGATGGCTGTGGCATCATGCCATCCCAATTGGGAAGTATTTCTTCACCTCTGTGCCCTGTGCCCTTCTTTGGAAAACTATGTCTGCTTGTCCTGTGGAAAGCACCAGCTGTTGACATGTGACTTCAGCCAGACTTCTACTGAAGTGGAACATCCATCACCTCTGTGCACAGGAGGCCCTCCCAGTTGGGGAATTCCAGGAGTGATGTTAGGGGCACCTACTACTCTTCCCACTACTGCTCCAATCAGCGCCAGAGCTTTAACCTGAAGTTTCTCAGTCATGGCCGGCCCAGGCAGAGAGGTGCTGAGCCCAGCCATACACTCCCTGGTCTCAGGGACACAAGTGAGGTTGAAGCCCTGTGAGCCCAAGGATGGAGGTTGTGACGGACAAGTCCTCACGGAGCCTCCTGGCTGCAGGAAGGAGGTGGTTATTGCCCTGGGGAACACTGAACTGAGAAGCTTTTGTGGCAAGGAGAAGCATAAAGGGCCAGGCTTTCCAGCAACTTCCAGAGAATTCTTGCCCTTGGGAGGTAGGCATGAGGGCAAGGAGCTAAGGGATCTGCAGCAGAGAAAGGAGGACCCCGAGCATGAGCCCAGGAGACTCATCCTTCCTGCACCTGAGGACTCAGAGCAAGTGTCCTCTAAGACCCAAGATTCTCCCTCAAGACACTGGAACAATACCCTCAAAAAGACCTGGGTCCCTCCAGAATCCAGGCACTGCTGCCCCCCTGCCCTGGAGTCCAGAGTCTGAAGGTCTCTCTTGTCCAGTCTGAAGGGCTACATTCCTGGACAGGCCATTCCTGGGGACGGTGTACTACATTGTGGATTATCCTCATTAGGCTTATTTCCTCCACAGCCCCTCTGAGGCCTGTTCACCCAGAGGACAGCACCCACCAATGTCAAGAACAGGGGAAGCTTCAGGAAGACCAGGAGCAAGAAGTGGACACTGCTGAGCAAGGACCTGTGGGGGGACATAGGGACAGGAAATGACTGGCTCCTCAGGGGGAGGCCCAGGACACTTGTCTCCCAACCAATCCCTGTGCTCTGACTCTAGAGCCCTCATAACTCAGGATCAAACCTGGAAAGGACACGTGCCCGGGCAGCCCCTCTCTGGGGCCCCATCACCTCCCCTCCCTTGACCATGAACTGCCCCCGGGAATCCTGTTAAGGAGAGGTGATGGGGCAAAGAGAAGAAGGGCCCAGGAGTGCCTGCTTTCCAGAGGCTTCCTCTCTGTCCTTTCCTCTCACATTTCTCCTTATCAACTGACTTCTTGAAAGCCACCCCCATTCTCACTTTAAAGCCCTGACCCTTATTCTCGGCCCTGCAGGGCCAGACAACAACATGGCAGCCCTTTCTGGGGATCTTGGGAGGAGGAAAACAGCCTGGAGCGAGCCCATCTCTCTCCGTACCCCACAACTAGCTCCTGGATCTCTGGTACAGCAAAGACCTTTGTAGGTAAGCCCAAGTTAGGGCCACAGAACCAGAAGCCAGAGTCCAGAACCAGGTGGGGAAGGGGAGGGGGAGGGGTGGGCATGGGAGGAGCTGCATGTCCACCTGAACCAGCCTCCTGTTCCCCTGCAACTGCCCCATGGGGGAAAGCATTCCCAAAACAAGTGATACTTTCTACGTGGAATCCCCATGCAGCCATGGAGAATGTAAAAATCAGGACCAGAACTAGAAGAAAACCCAACAGTGAGGTAAAAAGGTCATGGTGTGTTGCCAGCCCCCACCACAAGGTCCCATAAGGCTGCCGAACTCCCTCTTCTGTGGTCCCTAGGCTGTGGGCTCTTACCCTGAGCAGTAGGTCAACACCTCCTTGGTGCTGAGGTTCTGCTTGCTTTTCAGCCCCGGAAAGTCAGCAGGTACAGCTTGACATGTGATCCTCTCTGTGGTTTTTTTTGGTGCTGGAGGCAAATCACACATCAGGTGCTTGCTCTCTCCCCAGCCATGCACTAAGTGCCCATTTGGACCCAATGTTACACATGATCGCCCACTTGCAGAAGGGACTTGAGAGATGCTCTGAAGCTAGTCCCAGGTCACTTCCAGGTTGGAGTGAGCCCCTCAGGGACCAAGTGAGAAGCTTCCACAACTGGCCATATGAGCCACCTCTAATAAGTGCCAGATCTTTCTTTCCATCCCAAGTCTGACTCTGCCTAGGGTGAGAGCAGGGGTCTCTTACAGGCTTCTCCAGCCGAGGAGGAGCCCCAGAGGGAAGAGGAACAGGGGCAAGTCTGGAAAAGATGACTCCACCTGTGGCCCAGAAGCCTGAAAGAGACTGTGGGAGGGGGCTCACAGCACCCTTCAGATGGAAACTAAGGCCACTTTAACTCCCTGCTGGGGAGGAGCTAAATCTCAGGTGTCCAGGCTATTGGTGTAACCTGTGTCTCTGCCCCAACCTCATGACTCCCCCCCAAAAAAAGCAAGCCTCCCAGAGGCTTAGCCCTCCCAGTGCTCCCAGGACAGGCTCTGTTTCATCTGACCACAGTCCTTGATGTCTTTGCCATTGGGGATACATTGATGGATGTGGCACCATCCCTGCCCTCACACAGGGCAGATGCATCTAAGTAGATGGATTCACATCAATAGAACGTGGGCACGGGGCAGAACTCCATCAGATACAGCAAGAGCACAGAGGACTCAGACCTCAGCTACCATCCAGGCAAGAAGAAAGGCGAGAAATGAGGAATGGTGACACCTAGAGGAGGCCACGGGGAGGACATGAGAGAGCCCAGCGTTTTTCTAGGCTGGGGTGAAGAAAGCGTGTGGATAACTGATGGAGGAAGATACAGATGAGCAAGGAGGGAATCTGGTTCAAGGGGATGGGAAGGCAAGGAGCTCCAGGGTGAGGAGCCAGCCTCAAGATGATTGTTTTTGAACAGGTGGAGGGAAACCGCCCTCAACCTAGAAGGGAAAGGGGAAGAATGAGTTAGGCATTGCAGAAGTTTGTAGGGGGAGAAGAAAAGAAATTGAGAGAGTTCACGTCTGATATCCCATGTGCCCTTGGTAAGGTAGAAGAATGGTAGAGTCATATTAGAAACCATGAACTTGTACTGACACCCATAGGCGCCATCTGTGACTTCTTCAGCACTACTGCAGCAGAGAGATTTTAGGTAGGATACCAATTTGCCCTAGCTTGCCTGGGATGTTATCCAGTTTTAGCATGGAAAGCCCCGCATCCCAAGAAACTTCTCAGTCCTACACAAACCCCAATGGTTGCTCACTCTAATTTTAAGATGGATCCAGGGATGAGGGTTTTGAGAGGTGGGTAGGGAAATGGTGCATGGTAAGTGAAGAAAACGTAGTCTTCCATGAGAGTTGGGCCTGGCTTAGGAAGGAAGTGAGATCAGGGCAGGGGAGGGGTAGGTAATAAATGGGGAGAGAATGGAGAGAGAGATCCAAGGACTGGAGGCATATGTGAGATTGAGAATAGGGCTAGCAGGGGTGAGGGTGTGGTAAGGCTGATGCACAGAAAATTGTCTGAAAGTACAATGCCTGAGGGTAGGGTTCTGGACATGGACCAGTTTGGGGTGACAGCAAGATGTGCAATGTTGCCATGGAGTGGGATTCTGGAGAGTGGAAATGCAGGCCACTGCAGTTGAGAAGGTCCTGGAAGCTGAGACAAGTTACTCATTAAAAACTCCCAAGATGATGACAGGGATTAGGGATGTCGGGGATTCCATAGGAAGCCAATGGAAGGCCATGCCAATGAGAAGAAGGGGATGCATGTGGCCATGTGACACAAATGTTAAAGGAAGCAGGTGGGACAATAATAGGTTGGAAGTTGTGATGAGAGCTGGGAGAATTTGGACATAGCTTCACCACCCTATAGCACATGGGGGTAGAAGAAAGAGCAGCTTCCACTCAAGAAGACTATTTCTTGAAATGAAAGGAGTGAGGCCAATTTCAGGACAGTATAGTAGAGAGAATATTCTGTGAGTAAGCTGAAGATGTATGTATGAAGAGTTTATTTTCTTTGGTACAGGTTTCCAAAGGGCATGGTGGAAATAGTTTTGGTCCAGCATGGAGGGGCCTCCCAGGCAATGGAGTGAGGCCCAGGTCCTGTGAGAGTGAGGGTACCTTCAGCTACACACCCCCATCCATGCCAAGGCTGAGAAGTCGGCCGCCTCTCACCCTGCCCTCATCATAGGCTCTTCCCAACACCACTGGGATGGAGGACTAGACAAGACCCAGAGACAAGACCCATCAGCTTCGCTGCCGGAGTGAGAAAATTTCTTACCTGCAGAAACAGACACATTAACCTGGACTAAAGGGTCAGGTAACCATGTTCTCTGAATTCTACACCAGTAGGATCCAGCATCGTCTGTAGTAAGGTTCTCCATGGTCACTATAAAGGTGAAGTTATCAGCATGGTCTCTGATAGACACACGCCCACTCCTCTCTTCTTTCTCTTCTCCCTTGGTCTCCACAATCTTCTCACATGTTATGCCGAACTCTCCTCGGCACCAGTATTTGTTATGCCTCTGGTATCCCTCCTCGTACTGACATGGCACACTCAGAGAGCCACCCAAAGTGCCTGTCACAGAGCTGGGGCCCGTCAGGGACAAAGAGCCTGGAAAACACAAGCCACATCCCAGGACTCCATCTCAATAGCCCCTACAGCAGCTGTCTGCCTGAAGCCCAAGGGGAAAGTTGCCAGGGAGGTGTGGACGGTTCCAGGCTCAGGGATGGGGGCCTGGAGGGACATCTGAGCTTAGAACCTAAGCCACGGGGTCTGGAGACTATGGCCAGCAAGAAAGGTAGAGACCTGTGCCCTGTGAGCCCAGAAACACTGAGTAACCACACAAAGATCCTGCCCCTTGGGGACAGGGAGAATCAGAACAAAGCTAGAGAAGGAGCAGAGTGAGCTAGCTGTCCTGCCCTGTCTTTAGCCTTTGCAGGCATGAGATTCAGTGACGTATAAAAACACTTCACTTTCGGGCGCCTGGGTGGCTCAGTTGGTTAAGCGACTGCCTTCGGCTCAGGTCATGATCCTGGAGTCCCAGGATCGAGTCCCGCATCGGGCTCCCTGCTCGGCAGGGAGTCTGCTTCTCCCTCTGACCCTCCCCCTCTCATGCTCTCTCTCTCTCATTCTCTCTCTCAAATAAATAAATAAAATCTTTAAAAAAAAAAAAAACACTTCACTTTCGCGTGAGGCTCTGCATGAAGGTTTTCTGCAACTCAGACTTTTTCTGTAGGAGCACAACTTCTTGTTTACTCCACTCTCTACGTGTTCTCAAGAGAGGAAAAGTAAACCCCTGGCCCTCATCCAGACTACTCTCGAGGGAGGAACAACACACTGTTAGGAAGGGCTGGGTCCCAAGGAGACCCTCACAGGCTCCCTGACACAGGTTTGGGGCACGAAATGACTACCCCCAACCCCGTCACCATCCCCAGGGTCTTACCATCTTTCTTCACCACCTTTCCCCCTTCCCTTCTAGCCATACAACTCTCCATAAATGTAAAGTGGTCACATTTTTCCAAATGGTGTTTGTAATCCCAATGGGTATGGTGGGTGGGAGAATGCTGGAACAGAGAGGAAGGAGCTAAGCCAGAAGCTGGGATGGAAAAAAAAAAAGAAGAACCAAAATTTCAGTCTTTACAAGTGACTCCAAAGCTTTCATCTGGACCCAGGAGGAACTCTAGCTGTAAATGGATGGAAAGTTGAACCTGTGGGGTTGGAGAGATCAGCCAGTCCATGTGAAGGGGTAGGAAGAAGTTTCCATCTCCAGTTTAACTGCACCCAAGCTAGGGCATTTAGGCAAATTTTTCAGAGTTAAGCAAGCAGATGTGAAGAAACAGTGATATGCTGGTAAACCAGCTCTGGGCAGGGAGCGAGGCGAGGTGCAAGGAGAAGCCATGGTTCGTAGTGTTTCCTGGTTTCTGTGGTGTAAATACTCTCACTATGACTAATTTCAGGCTAACAACATGCCATCACTGGATGTAGGGTTGGGAAAATAAGACCATAATCAGCTCTTGTGAGTGGGTGCAAGCCAGCTCTACCCACTACTGCTTTGGGTGCCCATTTCCTAAATTATGATGATTCAGGAAAAAGTCCATTATCAAAAAAAAGAAAATATCCATTATCATCATCATCCTCATTTAAGACATTTTGAGCACCTCCCATGTGTAATGAGACACATCTCTTTTAAATGTCTTTCTGAGTCTAAGATCTCAGTTATGAGGGCCCTGGGGACACTTGAAGATCATCCCATCCACTCTCTTGTGTTACTGAGAAGAAAATTACATTTTGACCAGTGTCACCCAATTGGTCTTCTTTCTTTAAACCTCTGCCTTTCCACCCACTATTCTGGAACAGTCCATCATTATGTTGGGCAGGTTCTATGTCTCACCCAACATAAAAATTATTCTACAAACATGAAGAATACCCTCTAATTTTTACCCTGAACTTACTTCCCACAGAGAATGGGCTCTCATGCATGTTGAATGTCTTTTTTTTTTTTTTTAAGACTTTCTCTTCCGAAACTCCAGCCTTCAATGGACAATTCTTTTTATCTGACTACACCACACGTTGTTCTAGCAGGGGTTTAAGGTGGATGCTGAGGATGCCTTTTTAGACCCTTCTTTAATTCCTTCTAAGAAACCTTTCCAACCCCTTTAAACTAAGCTCTGACAAAACAGAACTATTGCTAATTCCTGAACTTTCCATGATCTTTAAAGAGATCCACACTGTTGCATAAGCTATTCCCACTTTCCACTCAGCCAACTCATTCATCCATCAAGACCAAAGTCCAGTGAAGCCTCGGTGAGGACTTGTATTGGGTCGAGAAGTGTTTGGGGCCCTTGTGGTGTACCTCCACACCACATGAATAAATCTCTTCTACAGAAAGGTCTACACTGTATCACAGTGACTTGACTCCCTCATTCAACCATGAGTCTCTGAGTGCAGAAGTTGCTCTCCTGGCACAGAGCTGGTGCTCATTAAGTATATGTAGGAGCTGTAGATGAATGTTTGAGTGGATAGAAGGATATACAGATGGATGAATGGATGTGTCCTTCCTGTTTCTGCTGAGACTTCTCTGGCTTGAACCCAGGACAGACCTTCTACCCACTATTCCAATACCAAGTGCCCAAAGCCCCAGCCCCACTCACCTGAGAGGCAGAGAAGGAGCAGAAATGGGGACAGCCACATGGTCCTGTCTCTCTGTCTGGTGCCCCAGCAAATCCAGGTGCTTGTGACAGAGCCTGTGGGGTCCACTTGCTACTTGCTCCAGTTTCCTTTGTGTTTCTGTCTCTCACCTACTTCCTTTTTCATCTCCTAGCCACTTCCTATTTTGAAGCCCTACTTAGGAAAAGGGGAAGAGTGGCAAGAGATACTTCAGAGAATGGCCTAAGAACAACAAGAGAAATCTGCTGATCTTTTCTTCATTTAATGGCAATATAATGTTTGGATCATACCCCAAGGCTTCATGAAAGTCAGTCCCAAAATATAAAACCTCCAACAGAGGACAGCTTTTGTCCCCATCTCTCATTTTTCTTCCTGTCCGAGGCTGCTTGCTTGACCTAACCAGCTGTCCCTTCTCTCTGGCTGCATACTTTTGGGTCATAAAACACCCCACTTAAATATCTGGGGTGAGGACTCCCCATAACTCAACGATTACCTCCATGTGGTTGACCTCATACCTCTTCCTCTAACCTAGTCTCTCTTCTGGGCTCTGGACCCAACTTTCTGACTTCCTGTGGGGAAGCTCTACCTGCTTGTATGCTATTAATCTAATTCAATATAAGGGTGTTGGTGAAGCGCATAGATTCTGGAGTCATGCAGATTCAAATCCCATCTCCATCATGTACTAACCATGTGCCCGTGGGCATGTTGCTAAATCACTCTCATCCACAGCTTCTTCATCTGTAAAATAGAGTAATAGTAACCATTCTTACCTCATAGGAAATAAAGGGGTGAACAAACGTAAAGCACTTGGCACAGTGCCTGGAACATAGTAACAGCTCAGTAAATGTTAACTATCCTCAGAATAGTCCTGGACCGGGACTAGCTTCTCATCTGGTCTGTCAACCAGCTATACATTCCCTCCAATTTAACTTACACATCAGAAACATATTCTTCTCAAAGACACAGGTATCAGCTTTGCCCAAATTATTTAAGTTCACAACAAAGCTGTAAGGCAGGTAGCATTATCCCCATTTTATAGATAAGAAGACAGAGGCACAGAGACGTCCTGAAACCAGAGATCATCAAATCAAGTCCACATATCCCAGGCAAGTTTGTTAGCCCTAAGGATTTGGGGGGAAAGCCAGTAGAGGAAGTAGGAAACTGACAAAGAGCTTAGCAGCTAAGAAGTCAGGAGATCACCTCCCCAAAGGAAGCAACAGCCTCTTTCCCACCTCCATCGCCCCAATATCTTACCAATGCCAGAGGCCACAGGCTGCATAATCCACAGCATGGTTTATACAACATGGGAACCACTGTCTGGTGTCAACCCAATGCCCAGAGTCATTTTGCTTGGGGACAGCAGGAGGCCCATAGGGCTCTGGCCTGCACACCCCCATCAGCAACTGTCAGAAGCACCTGGAACACATACATTTGGGCGAAGAGGCTTAGCTCCTAGGAGACAAGGCTCATCTTATCACTGTCTGCTCCACCACACTAGAGAGGAGATAGAAGCTGGGGCAGTCCAAAGATGAGCACAGACAACATTATTAGGGAAATGCAGCCATTAAGGAATGCAAATCAAGACCATGGTGAGACACTACTTTACACCCACTAGGATGGCTACCATCAAAAAGTCGGATAGTAAGTCTTAGCAAGGATGTCAAGAAGTCAGAACACCCCGGGGCGCCTGGGTGGCTCAGTCGTTAAGTGTCTGCCTTCAGCTCAGGTCATGATCCCAGGGGTGTCCTGGGATCGAGCCCCGTATTCGGCTCCCTGCTTGGCGGGAAGTCTGCTTCTCCCTCTCCCACTCCCCCTGCTTGTGTTCCTCCTCTCGCTTTGTCTCTCTCTGTAGAATAAATAAATAAATAAATCTTTAAAAAAGTTCAGAACACCCATATATCCATTCATGGGAAAGAAAAATGGTGCAACCACTTTGGAAAACAGTCTACAAATTCCTCAAAGGATTCCACATAGAGTTACCATATGACCCAGCGATTTCACTCGTAGGTGTACACCCAAGAGAAATGAAAACATATGTCCATGCTAAACTGGTACACAAAGGTTTCTAGTAACATTATTCAGAATATCTAAAAGGTAGAAACAACCCAAATGTCCATCAACAGATGAATAGATAAACAAAATGTGATCTAACCTTACAACAAAGTATTATTCAGCCATTAAAAGGGATGAGACCTGCTACAAGGTGAACCTGAAAATGTTACGCAAAGTGAAGGAAGCCAGTCACTGAAGACCTCATAGTATGTGATTCCATTCATTACAAAGTCCAGAATAAGGAAATCTATAGATACAGAGTCGTGTAGTGGTTGCTTAGGACTTGGGGAGATGCAGGAAGAGATGATAGCTAGAAAGTATGGGGTTTCCTCTTGAAGATGATGAAGATGCTCTAAGATCGCGTGTGGTGATGGCCGCCCATATCTGTGAGTACGCCAAAAGCCACTGAATTGCACACTTTAAATGGGCGAGTTGCATGATATGTGAACTATATCTCAATAAAGCTTTTTGTTTTTGTTTTTTTTTTAAGATGAGCACAGAGAGGCAGGAGGCTGGCTGGCGGGTGGGAAGGGAGAGGCAGGGACGGGAGATGGGTCTCAGAATGGTGCTCTCCTCTGCCCCCCACCCCATTATGTGTATTTATTCTTCAACCAGAGCACAGCACATGGGCCCCGGGAAGACCAGGCTTTTCAGAGCATCAGCAGTGGGTAGTGAAGGGACCGGGGTAGGGGAGAGGGCGCCACACAAGAGAGCTGCCTCCCAGAGACAGGTGTCTGAACCTCTCCCCCACTCTCAGAAATGAGCGACCCATATGTAGGAGAAAAGTCAGAAAGCTCAGCTCCAAAATTAGAAGAAAAAAAGATTAGACACCTGCCCATACAGGCAATGCTGAGCAAAGGAAGGATGAAGCAGTAACAAGCACGAGCTCGCCCATAATTGCTTCTACTAACATTTCCTTTATTAAAAAAAAAAAAAATCCACACAGCTCTTGAGAGGTGCTCATGATAGAGTTCTAGGAAATAAAATAATTAAATGATAAATGCATTTTTAAAACTGAAAAAATAGGTGGACTCTGCATAAAACAATGGAGACGAAGAATAATGTGAGTCAAAACCTCAATGATTGAGGAGAGAATTTTTCTGGGGGCCTGTCCAACTCCAGAAAGGACCCCATGCAAGCACTAATAAGCAACTACTGTAGAAATAGAGCATCTGGAGTGGTGGCGTGGTGTCCTTGAATGGGTGTCAAATCTGGATGTCAGTGTGTGAATAATGCAGACGTTGCTGGTGCTTTTGAAAGAAAAGGAGGAAGCTTTGAAATCTGATTCAGTGGCTTCCCTGCTTTCAAACTTTCGCCATCTCCCCTTTAGCTAGAGTCAAGTCCAGACCCTGGTGTGATATACCAGACCCGGCTCCTGGCTGGCTTCCAGCCTCTCCCAGTCCTCCACAGCTCACACTCTGTGCCCCAGCCATTGCAAACGACTTCCAATGCCCAGACAGCAGGTGCTCCCTTGGGCCAGCAAGATGGTGCACACGGTGATCTCTCGATGCCCACCCAACCTCCCATCCACCTGTCCGGGCACCTGCACCCTCTCAGCTTCCTTCAAGATACAGATAAAGCCTTCCCTTCCAACCCCGGCGCTGGCAGACTTGACCCCTGCCTCAGCCACCGCCACACCTGTGTTAAGGTCATTCTTTCCTAACCCTGCCCCAACATGCTTTCTCGGGTTTTCTGCCTTCAGTTTTGCTCTGTTTTGTTTTGTCTTTGGAGGTTCCCTCAGGTCCTGTGCATTGAGTTCATTGGTCCAGGAAACCGCCCCTCCCCTCCGACAAAACTTGTCATTTCTTTATTTGGTGCTTTCAGTTCCATCCCCTGTTCACACACCTCAAAGACAATCCTTCAGTGGACATCCTTGCCTCCCTGTGATTATAAGGTACACCTGCTTGCTTTGTATGCATATGTTTAGCCGAGCTGTCTTTCAACAGATGAATGGATAAAGAAGATGTGGTTCTTATACACAATGGTATATTATTCAGCCCTCAGGAAGGATGGATACCCACCATTTGCATCGACATGGATGGAACTGGAGGGGATTATGCTAAGTGAAGTAAATCAAGCAGAGAAAGACAAATATCATATGGTTTCACTCATATGTGGAACATAAGTAATAGCATAGAGGACCATAGGGGAAGGGAGGGAAATCTGAAGGGGGAGAAATCAGAGAGAGAGACAAACCATGAGAGACTATGGACCCCGGGAAACAAATTCAGGGTTTCAGAGGCACCTGGGTGGCTCAGTCGTTAAGGTGTCTGCCTTCGGCTCAGGTCATGATCCCGGGGTCCTGGGATTGAGCCTCACATGGGGCTCCCTGCTCAGCAGGAGGCCTCCTTCTCCCTCTCCCACTCTCCCTTCTTGTATTTCCTCTCTTGCTGTCTCTCTCTCTGTCAAATAAATAAATAAAATCTTAAAAAAAAAAAACTAATGATGTACTATACAGTGGCTAACTGAACATAATAAAAATTAAAATAAATTTTTAAAATAAAAATAAAAAATAAAATAAAATAAAACCACATTTTTTGGATGGTTTTGGGCCATCCATCTCATTCTGGTTTTACTTTCTTCACTCAGCACCAGGTTCTTAAGCCTCATCCGTGTCACTGAGTGTCCAGTTTGCTGTTTTCCAGCTTCAGCTTCTATTCCATAGCAGGTGCTCGAGGCCACTCGTCGGTGCCTCGTGTTGGACGCCTAGGTGGCCCCCAGCTCCCTGCCTCCATGAACAATGAACAATGAACATCCTCTAGCATGAGTCCTAGCGGCCTGCAGAACATTTCCCTGGGATATACACCCCAAAGCAGGATTTCCAGGTCCCAGGATAAACATACCCTCAACCTGACAGATTGCTGTCCAGAATGGCCACACTTGGCTGTCAAGTCTCATTCCTTGAAGCCAAAGTCTACAGCCAGAACCTGTTTCACTAATTGGAGCAGAGTCTTCACAAACTGTGCACTGTGACTTCCCCCCTTGGATGCTGGCCAGCAGTTTGGCATGGATTTATTCAGTATTCAGGTAAAAAAAAAAAAAAATAGTTCCTC